AGAGGCATGTCTGAGCTCCTTGAGCATGCAAGATGAAGCATAGAAAAAGAAAAATGGGAAAAGATCAAATACAATCAGAACATATTGTATGAAAAAAATTCTTTTCAATAAAAAGAAAATAGAAAACAAAAGAAAATGTAAATTTTTAAAAATGGAGTTTGTATAACATAATGTTCCTTTATGGTCTTGGCCAAATGTGACCACCTACATATTAAAATGGGCTTATGAATGCAAATGTTTTCCTTGCTATTCAAAACAATAGGTAGGCTAGGATTTACCAATCCAGAGTCCACCTGGGAGACTGTGGCTTTTAATGCTGAAATAGAAGGTAAGATGGGCACTTGCTCTTGAAGTGACCATGTATATAGACAATGTCTTCTAACAAGGACCTAATCTAACAAAATACCTATAATAAAAGTGATGATAAGGAAATTAACTCAATATAATTGAAAAATATTTATATTGACTTTGAAGGGAAAATTTTCTATAAATAAATATTGGAAAAATCAATGTGTGTATTAGTAACATAGGTGGATTGTTGAACTGGAATTATAATCACACTTTTTTTTAATGTGTCTTGGTGTTTGGCCTACATGTTTGTTTCTGTGAGAGTGTCTGCTCCCAAGGACCTGGAATTACAGATAGACAGTTGTTAGCTGCCATGTGGGTGCTGGGAATTGATACTTAGTCCTCTGGAATAGCAGCCAGTGCTCTTAAACACTGAGCCATCTCACCAACCTTGATACATTTCTTAACCCCTGGTTGATATTACTGGACCTAACTTTCCCTAAGTTGCTGTTGGTTAAATGTTAAAGTGGCATGCTGACACCTGGATAAACATGAGAATAAATGCAGAAGAGTGAAGAGTGTTGCATCCTTGCTGTAACAGTTCTTCATGATTCCCATCATCCATCCTCACCTCCTGGCTCCTTGAGACTGGGCATTTATATCCACTGATTCTTAATTTATTCCTTCTACATCATGACTATCCTGGATTGAATAGGAAGCTCATTAAGGATGAATCTGGGAGACATAAAAATCCAACTTTATTTTGAGGTCATATCAGTAACTGCTCTGATATAGCCATGTGTCATCATACCACCATCAGATTTCATTTCTATTCTAGTTCATGAAAATCCAGGAATCCTAAACATCAGGAATAAAACAGCAAATGGCACCCAGGTCATGGCATTGTGAAAAGTTCTATTACTCATTTGACTTTCAGTCACAGTTTACACCTACCCTATGTTAGGTTCATCCTTGATAGAGACCTCGACTTCTTCTTCATATATCCCCACTTCATAGAACAATGTGACTCTCTGTGGATGGTTTTTAAATTAATCTAAGAACCTAGTTCTATAATCTGGGTATATACTATAAGTTTCTCATGGGCAGAATAAATTCTAAATGTAAAAACAAGACTATCCTAATCTGGATCATAGCTGATTCAGATATAACTTGATGGTGCAATTCAAGAAATGGGAAGAATACTTCAAGGCATAATGTAATTTCTGTATCCTGATGACATGGATTTATTATGAAAAACCAGGGTATTCTATCTCATGACCCAGATCATAAGATATAGATTACCCTAATGATGTAAAAGAGTTCCTATAATTAGTTCTTGAAGTTTTAATAGCAAAGGGTGAAAACAATAGTTATAATTTTATAAAGAAGATACCAGAGTTAACCACAAGAAGACAAGTCTCCAGATAAAAGAAAGACAAAAGAAAACTGTATCTAGCATATGATGTGGCTCCATACGTTATAGACGAAAACTGCTTTGTGCAGTGCAGGATCACAAAAATATCAACCCTATTGCCACCTTAAACCCTGCAATAAAATATCCACACATTCTGAAATGGATTCCGCTAATGGTGAGCATTGAATTTCAGAATAAACAAGAGGACTTCTGTTCAAATGTAAGCTGAGCCTCACTGGAGCCCCAGGTGAAACTAACACGATTTTATCAACAACAAGAAGGAAATCCTGAATGAGAATCACATGCACTGAAATTAGAAACCATCTTACTACCAATGCCCAGCTGATCTTTTCAACCATAAACAGTTCAAACCTCAGTGTTCAGAAGCAGCAGAAACCCTAGTTAGTGAAGATAAAGTGAGCCCTGGGACAGCTGTGATACCTGTAAACTATACTGTGTATACTCTTCAAAAAGTGTAACTCAAATTCTAATTGGTCTTAATAATAAAAACCTGAAGTCAGATATCAGGGTAAATGCTGAAAGGTCAGAGAGGTAAAGGAGCCAGACACTAGACAGACTTCTTACCTCTGCCAAATCCTCAAAGCGAATGGCTGAGCTCCTGTCTACTCCTGCCTTATATTAATGTCTCCATCTCCCTAGTGCTAGGATGAAAGGCATGAGCTTCCACCACCTGGATCTTTGTCTCTTTTAGACTGGATAAATCTTGTGTAGCCCAGGGTGGCCTTGAACTCCTGATCTTTCTATTTCCTTTTCCCAAGTGCTGGGATTAAAGGTGTGTGCCACTACTGCCCGGCCTCTATGGTTAACTAGTGGCTAGCTCCACACTCTGATCTCCAGGCAAGCTTTATTTATTAGATCATATACAAAATAACACCACAAGAAAGGTTTGGAAATGAATTATGATCAGGTTACCCAGGGAGGGAAGTATCAGTCGGGGACAAGGACAGAAAGGAAGAGTAACTGCAATAGTTCAGAGTGTCCAACAAAAGGAGAGATGAGAAAGCTGGTCAATCACAAGCCCTTGCTCCTTCTGAACCCAGGGGAGAATGTGATACCTGTGTCTTAACCCTGGGGAAGCAAGCACAACCAAGCTGATGCTAGAAATACATGAAATAAGGAAGAGAGCTGAAGCTGACCAAGAGAGTGTCATGGATGTGGAAACATTATGCCAGTGTCCCCAGGCTGAAGGATCTAGCTATAAAGGGAACACTGGCCAAAAGGAAACATTGCTTACAAGGGTTACAAGAACACTGACTGTTCAAAGGGAGAACGTTATAGGATAACAGAAGCAATTTCCAGCTCCTGCCAACTTGGATTCAAAACAATCCTGAGCAGAAACCAAAGTTCACCTTAGGTGAGATCAAGTGGGTTCAGGGTGACCTCCTCATTCCAAGGTTCACTTTAAACCCCCTCTGGACAGGCAGGGTGGATCCCTAATTTCCCCGACCAGAGCCTGTTAAACTCTAGATAAGAACTGCAAGAAGTCTCTTTCCACACTTCCTGCCTGCCCAGCTGCAGGACTACCTGCTTCACCCTACTTCCATGCTCACCCTAGGACAGCCAAGAATTCCACCGGGTGTCCCTTTCTTCAATGCCCACTCAGGAGCAACTCTGCCATCCTGCTAGGTAGATCCCACTGAGGAGCACCAAGACAGCACAGATCAAGGTAAACTTGGTTATGAGCAAGAGCACAATGGTGCTTTCACCTATTCCCCCTTTCCTGTCCCAGCTTGCTCAGACCACTTGCCTTTGCTCTCTGAGGTGGATCCCACATAGGAGCTCATGGTTTGCTGGGTGCTGTGTGTAGGACACCACAGGAGCTTCAGCAGGGAGGCACCCTGATCTTTTTCTAATGATATTTTGCCTCAATGAGGGAATAATGAAAATAAGGGATTATGTTCTTGGTGATGTCTGCAAAAGATACGAGGATTCAGGAAAGGGTTGAGATCAAAATATAGAACAGAACAAAATGATGGTATGTGAATATTAAATACAACAATAGAGGTCAAAAACTGGGAACAAAGCTAATGTCAATCAAATTAGAAATGAGGAAGTGTGGATTTTCTGTTACAAAATGGATTGAACATTACATAAAAGAAACTTAGCTACCTCTTATAACATGAAAGTACATTAAAACCTTATAATAATCAAAGCCAGTCACAAAGTACCACCCATTTTATGCCAGCTACAAGAAAAGCTCAGAATAAGGGGGAAAAGGGGTGTTTCATGACTAAGGGGTCTCAACCTGTATGTCCCAACAAGCCAGTTACACACACACACACACACACACACACACACACACACACACACACACACCACTAAATAAGTCAATCAATGGAGACAAATAAACTGTAAAATGAGAAAAAACAGATTTACTCATTGTAATCACTTTAGTAAGAGAGGCAGAGAGAGCCCATCATGTTTATCCAACTCCATCTTTGGGATTCTAACAAGACACATGCATAGCTAAACAGTTCAGCCATGATGTGGTCCCTTGCCCAACATTTTCTTAGCTCCTAGGCTCTTCAGAAATGTTAGTCTCCTCCAGTTTGTAAATGGCCCTTGAGGACCGATTCCTCCTAGGTACCCTCAAGGCATCAGACAATTCTTCTCCCACCAGAAGATCACCAGGAAAATTCTAATTTTTTTAGTGTCCATTCTTTCAATAGTCTGATAGTCGAGGAGGGAGGCAAAAGTGTCTCATTAGAATATATTCATTCCTGCCAGGGTGACAAGAAAGCAGATTCCTGACTGGATAGGGCTGGAACCAATGGAAAGGCTAAGAGAACGGGGCTTCCTATCTAGGTTAAAATCAGCTTCAAATTTAGTTGCAGGTTTATAATTCTGAGGTTATACTATGGACCTCTGAACCATTTATTTAAAATCATTCAATAGTATGGTAAAGGAATGCTGTTGCCAACATTCATATGAAGACACACTGGACTATGATATTTTAAAAGTGTGACTCAACAGTTATGTCTTTTCTGTAAGTTCTTTATCAAGGAAGCTACATTAGAAGGAGAGAGACAAAGAAAGAGAGGGAGATCTTACTGTTTACTGTTCTCCAAGTACATTATATGTTCAAGGTCACTGAGAATCAGGAGTCTTTTCACATGTTCACATCTGCCCCCTCATATTCCATTTGGCATCCAGAGGCTGTGACTATCCCATGTGTATTTACTTTTGTGAGTACAAATTATACTTTAACTAATTATTTCTCTCCTATATCTGCAAGATCTGAGGGATTGCCATTTGAAAGGCAGCTCTGGATTTAACCAAGATGTCAGTGAAAATGACAGCAGCCCTGCTCCTGCTCCAGCTGAGTCGCTTCTTTGGATCTGGGAGTGGTGGGAAGGTGCTGGTGTGGCCAATGGAATACAGCCATTGGCTCAACTTAAAGGTAATCCTAGAAGAACTTGTGAAGAAGGGCCATGAAGTGACTGTTCTGATACCCTCAGTTTCCTTTACTTATAAGGTTGACGAAGCATCTGCTATTGAGTTTGAGATATACCCTTCATCCTTTCCCAAGGCTGATTTGGAGGAACTTTATATCGAATTATTCAGGAAATGCATTTATGAGCTGCCAAAGCAATCATTTTGGAGATACTTTTTAATGTTGCAAGAATTGGTTTGGAAATATTCAGATTATTTTGAAAGTCTCTGCAAAGATGTAGTTTTTAACAAGGAACTCATGACAAAACTACACAATTCAAGCTTTGATGTTATTGTAGCAGATCCTTTCATACCCTGCAGTGACCTGCTGGCTGAGATTCTCAAGATACCACTTGTGTACAGTCTCTGCTTCTTTCCTGGATCCACATATGAAAAGTACAGTGGAGGACTCCCACTGCCTCCTTCCTATGTGCCTCCTGCTATGTCAGAATTGAGTGATCAAATGACAATCATGGAGAGGGTGCAAAATGTAATCTATGTGCTTTGTTTTGACTTTTGCTTCCAAAATTTTAATGAGAAGAGGTGGAATCAGCTTTACAGTGAAGTATTAGGTAAGTGCCTGCTTAGTTGGGATTGTTGCATTCTAAATTTGCTGTGTCATTGAAAGTGATTTTGAAACAACAGTATTGACAGCAGAAGGATTTATCTCTCCTAAGTAAAATGGTGAAAAGTCGGTGTAATTATCTGCCAAATTCAAAGCATTGTAGAAAAACGTCCCAGTGTCAATTGCAAAGCCTTCAACAGGACTCGTCAGACAGGCACACACGTACAAAACCAATCTTTGATAATGCCTCTAAGAAATAACATATCCACAAGGCATTTTAACTCGTGTCTTAAAACAGTAGCTTTACCTGTGGGGTGGCACATCATCATCGTCATCATCCTCATCATGATTACTATACTGCTGCCATTACTTTTATTATCCTGACTACGCACATGCGCACTTGTGCTCTGTGTAACATATGTGAAGGTCAAATTCAAATTTAATGAGTTTTTACCTCCACTTTCATGTGGTTTCTCAGGATCAATTCAGGTGTTCAGGCTTGTATGGGGACTGAACTCAAGTCATTAAGCTTTCATGATAAACACTTTTACCATCTAATCCATTTCATTATGTAGAAGCCCACTGAGGTTTCCTAGGAAGATCTGAGCTTACCTTACCCAGCAGTGCTGCATTAAGAGATGGCTTGACCACGTGCATGGTTACCAGGTGATTGGAAGGGTCTGCACTTGCTTGATCTAGAGGGAGCTGTTTTGCCCACCCCTTGGCATTCGTACCAAAAGCCCCTTTGAAGAGACAAAAGGGGCTGCTGTATATTGATCCAGGCCCTCCTGAAGCTATCCTGTGGTTCTGTCTGTCTTCTCTCCCATCTATCTTTCTATCTAAATATTTCTCATCCCTCTCTCCTCAAGAGTACCCTGGAGAAAAAGTAGGAGCTGGCCTCCCACAGATAGTACCATGAACAGGGACAAGGACTTGGCAAAAAGAGGGTTGGGGCCCACAGGAAGCAGTGGACATGTCCAATTTGTAGTATAATTGAAGGCAGGCGTATTCTATTTTTGGGAGTGAAAGAGTGGCTGAAAGAAATGTCAAAGGGAAAAAGAGGCTGCAGTGAATCTCTCTCTCTCTCTCTCTCTCTCTCTCTCTCTCTCTCTCTCTCTCTCTCTGTTTAGGTTTCTCTCTCTCGTTTCTATCTATAAAAATTAAGTAAAAATATAGGGTTAAATGTAGGAATATTGGGTAAGAAGAAAATAAGGATAAGAGTAGAATTTCCCTTGTGCTGAAATGGGGCAGGAAAATAGTAAGCAGATCTTCAATGATTCACTTGAAGAAAGTCTGAAAAACTTGGGGTAATGTAAAATACAGGCATATGGTGTAAGAAAAAAAAAGCTTAGTATAAGAAAAGCAACAAGACCGAGGAGCTATGTCCTTGATTCTCCAAACTATGGGACTATTAATGCAGACTCCTGTGTAAAAATCAGAGTCAGTAAAATATACTATGAGGATAATATGCAGAAAAAGATTCCTGTGGGAAAAAATTTTTCTCTGAGACAGATGCAGGCGAGACAAAACCCTCTGCTCTGCGGATATTGCCACTGTATGAAAACAGCGTACCATCAGAATTAGTTTCCTCTTGGCCATGAAGCCAAGAATAAAGAACAGAAATCATGGGGAAAATTTAGTAATCTCTCTTTCAAAAACTGAAAGCTTTTCAGACCTTTTTTTTCTCTCAGAACTCTTTTCTTTCTGTAAGAGCAAAATTAGACTCACCAGGAACGAACGTCTATCAGAATGGGAAAGTCTCCTGTAATTGCCCTAGAAAAAAAAAAAAAAAAACTTCTTGGAACATGGTAAACCCTCTCTGCTAGTCCTGTCTTCCCTTCAAGCCAGTATTAGAAAAACAGCAGAAACTTAGGACCATAGCCAGAGTCCCTTATGACCAGAGCCTAGGGAGAGGAGCCTGAGAGAGCACAGGCAGAGAGCCAAATGGGGCACCTTCCCTCCAGTGTGGAGTTGCAGCAGAGGCTGTGTAGGACCCGGAGAAAAGCTGATGGCATGGAGGAAGCAGTGGGGCCTTGGAAATCCTTCCTGCAGAAAAAAACAGGGTCATAGTTCCTAGCAGTAGCTGCAAAGCTGCAATGACATCACGGGAAAAATACAGACAAAATTTGGCTTTACATATGAGGCTGGTGAGGATGGCAGGAACCACCTGCCTTACCACAAAGCCCAAGTGGGTTGATGGGGCCACACAGTGCCCATGGCTGAGGAGAGGAACAAAAGAACCCCTCTGAAAAAAGCTTTTTTATTATTATTTTTTCTTTTTTTATTAAGAAATTTTTTTCCATTTATTTTACACACCAGTCAAAATCCCCCTCTTCCCTCCTCTCCCCCCAGCATCCCCCTCCCAACCCAACCTCCACTCCTCCCCAGAAGAAGGCAAGGGCCTCCCGTGGGGAGGCACATCCAGTAGAGGCAAGTCCAAGCCACTCCCCATGCCTCAAGGCTGTGTGAGGTGTCCCATCATAAGTAGTGGGCTCCAAAAAGCCCCCTCATGCACCTGGGATGGAATCTTATCTTACCACCAGGGGGCCCCAAAGCAAATCAAGCTACCCAGTGCAGAGGGTCTAGTCCAGTTCCATGAAGGCTCCACAGCCATTGATCCAACTTTCATGAGTTCCCACTAGTTTGGTTTGGTTGTCTCTGCAGGTTTCCCTATCATGATCCTGATGCACTTGCTCATAGAATCCCTCTTCTCCCTCTTTGACTGAACTCCTGGAACTCTGCCTGGTGTTTGGCTGTGAATCTCTGCATCTGCTTCCATTAGTCACTGGAGAAACGCTCTGTGATGACAGAATATTTAGCCATCTGATCACCTGAGTAGGACAGTTCAGGCACCCTCTCGACCATTGCCAGTAGTCTAATGTGCGGTCATCCTTGTGGATTCCTGGGAACTTCCCTAACTAACACTCTGTTTCTCCCTATTCCCGTGATGTCTTCATTTATCATGGTATCACTCTCACTGCTTTCCCACTCCATCCCTGTTCCAGCTCAACCATCCTGTTCCCTTATGTTCTCAACTCTTACTCCCTACCCTCTGTTGCCCATCCTTCACCCCAAGTTTATTCATGGAGATCTCATCTATTTCTCCTTCCCAAGGCAATGCATGTGTCCCTCTTTGGGTCTTCCTTGTTAGCTAGCTTCTCTGGAGTTGTGGGTTGTAGTCTGGTTATCCTTTGCTTTATATCTAGCATCCACTTGAGTGAGTACATACCATGTTTGTCCTTCTGAGTCTGGGTTACCTCACTCAGGATGATATTTTCTAGTTCCATCCATATGCCTGCAAATTTCATGATGTCATTGTTTTTCTCTGCTGATTAATACTCCATTGTGTATATGTACCACATTTTCTTAATTCATTCTTCAGTTGAGGGGCATCTAGGTTTGTTGCAGGTTCTGGCTATTATTAATAATGCTGCTGTGAACATGGTTAAGCATGTCTCCTTTAGGTATGATTGAGCATTCCTTGGGTATATGCCCGAGTGGTGTGGCTGGGTCTTGAGGAAGATTGAGTCCCAATTTTCTGAGAAACAGCCATACTGATTTCCAATGTGGCTGTATAAGTTTGCATTCCCACCAACAGTGGAGGAGTGTTCCCCTTGCTCCACATCCTCTCCAACATAATCTGTCTGTAGTGTTTTTTATCTTAGCCATTCTGCAGGTGTAAGATGGTATCTCAGAATCATTTTGATTTGCATTTCCCTGATGACTAAAGAAGTTGAGCACCTCCTTAATGTCTTTTGGCCATTTGAGATTCTTCTGTTGAGAATTCTGTGTTTAACTCTGTAGCCCATGTCTCTTGAGTTCTTTATATATTTTGGAGATCAGACCTCTGTAAGATGTGGGGTTGGTAAGGATCTTTTCCCATTCTGTAGGCTGTTGTTTTGTCTTATTTACTGTGTCTTTTGCCTTATAGAAGCTTCTCAGTCAGGAGGTCCCACTTATTAATTGTTGCTCTCAGTGTCTGTGCTACTGGTGTTATAACTAGGAAGTGGCATCCTGTGCCAATGTGTTCAAGACTACTTCCTACTTTCTCTTCTACAGGTTCAGTGTAACTGGATTTATATTGAGGTCTTTAAACCACTTGGACTTGAGTTTTATGTATGGCGATAGATATGGATCTATTTGCAATCTTCTACAGTTTGACTCCAGTTATACCAGCACCATTTGTTGAAGATGCTTTCTTTTTTCCATGGTACTGTTTTGGCTTCTTTGTCAAAATCAGGTGTTCATAGGTGTGTGGGTTAATGTCATAGTCTTCAATTTGATTCTATTGGTCCACATGTCCAATTTTATGCCAGTACCAAGCTGTTTTTATTACTATAGCTCTACAATAGAGCTTGAGGTCAGGGATGGTGATGCCTCCAGAGGTGGCTTTATTGTACAGGATTCTTTTAGCTATCCTAGGTTTTCTGTTTTTCCAAATGAAGTTGAGTATTGGTCTTTCCAGGTCTGTGAAGAATTGTGTTGGGATTTTGATGGGGATTGCATTGAATCTGTAGGTTGCTTTTGTTAAGATTGCATTTTTACTATGTTAATTCTACCTACCCATGAGCATGGGAGATTTTTCCATTTTCTGGTATCTTCTTCAATTTCTTTCTTCAAGTACTTAAAGTTCTTGTCATATAGGTCCTTCACTTGCTTAGTTATAGTTAACCCAAGATATTTTATATTATTTGTGGCTATTGTAAAAGGTGATGTTTCTCTTATTTCTTTCTCAGCCCATTTATCATTTGTATATAGGAGGGCTGCTGTTTTGGGGATTTTTTTTTTTAGTTAATCTTATATCCTGCCACATTACTTAAGTTATTTATGAACTGCATGAGGTTTTTTGGTAGAATTTTTGGGGTCACTTACGTATACTATCATATCGTCTGCAAATAGTGAAAGCTTGACTTCTTTCTTTCCAATTTATATCCACTTGACCTCCTTTTGTTGTCTTATTGCTCTAGCTAGAATTTCAAGTCCTATATTGAATAAATATGGGGAGAG